GTAAGGTGATTAACATAACATAAAAAAAAGAGTATTTTGTTGACATTGCTTCTTATTAGTCATAGCAGGAAGCAGATAATATCCATCTCTTTTTGATCTGATTTACCAGTGGGTTCAGATGCTGCTGGCCTGATCTATCCATTAAGAATTGACTCCTTGGTTTTTCATCCACTGTTGTAGAAGCCATTGATAATGATTGACCATGATGATCTCTTTTTGAAATCTACATGAGAGAATTATTCCATCCTCTTCTTTCTTTCTCAAGGGCCCCTCATGACAAACTTTTATATTCTTCAGTGACTGCCAACGTGGCTCACACCACCACTCTTGATAGTGATTTCTAACCTTTTGAGGGTCACAGATCCCTTTGAGAATCTAGAACTTTATAAGAAAAAGAAAAAAAACATACATGCATCAGCACTTGGAATTCCAGTTAGTGTCAGAATATCCTGGATCTCAGGTTAACCCTGCACTCTACAGGCTTGTGGTGCAGCTTTGACTTTGTACAGAACCTTGGTACCCTGACCTTCCCCTCTCTAACTTGAAGAATTTACCTCTCACATTGATGATTCTGTCTTTTGTTTCCTGACCTCATGGTTTTTCTATTTCTTCAAGACCATTGGTCTTTAACTCCACTCAATTCTAACTACTTTTTTGTAGTTATCCCAACTGAGACATCATTTATTGTCACTTGAAAATTTTCCTTTGTCAAGAATCCAAACTCAGGGATGCCTGGGTGGCTCAGTCGTTGGGCATCTGCCTTCGGCTCAGGTCATGATCCCAGGGTCCTGGGATCGAGTCCCACATCAGGCTTCCTGCTCAGTGGGGAGCCTGTTTCTCCCTCTGCCTCTCCCCCTGCTGGTGCTCTCTGACAAATAAATAAATAAAATCTTTTTTTTTTTTTTAAGATTTTATTCATTTCTTTGACAGAGAGAGACACACAGAGAGAGGGAACACAAGCAGGGGGAGTGGGAGAGGGAGAAGCAGGCCTCCTGCGGAGCAGGGAGCCCGATGCGGGGCTCGATCCCAGGACCCTGGGATCATGAACTGAGCCGAAGGCAGATGCCCAACGACCGAGCCACCCAGGCACCCCATAAATAAAATCTTTAAAAAATAAAAAAAAAGAATCCAAACTCAGCTTCCCCCCGCCCCCAACTGCCAACTCCTTGACTTTATTTTGGCCCACCTCATTTCCTACATTCTTTTGACTTCTCAAATCACTGGTCTCAGCCGGAACCATAACAAAGTCTCAAATCTATACCGGGGCATCTCAGTGTTGCTTTCTCTGGGGATTTAGGATCTTTGACTTGTTCATGTTCTACCACGGGGCTCACTCTCTTGTCTGCCTTCTGCTTTTCTTCCAAAGGTGCTCAGAGTGGCAATGCTGACAACGTCCTTATAAATTCAGACTAAGTTAAGCTGGTCTCTCGGTGCAGTTCACCCACTTCCACTCATCTTTTCCTACTCCCCTATTTCTGTGCTACTCAGATGTTGTTCATGGACCAGTAGCATCAGCATCACCTAGAAACTTAAAATAAATGCAAAATCTAAGGCCTATCCTGGATCTACTGCATCAGAGTGTGCATTTTTAACAATATCCCCAGTGAATCATATTCACATGAACGATCAAGAAGTACCATCCTATCTGTTCTCCACCTTGGTCGTTCTAAATTTTTCTCACAGTACTTGATTCTTGATTCCCCCGATGGATGACTCTATCAGGCAAGGTCCAATCAGGAAAACAGAAAACACTCGAGGGGCGCCTGGGTGGCTCAGTCGTTAAGTGTCTGCCTTTGGCTCAGGTCATGATCCCAGGGTCCTGGGATCGAGCCCCACATTGGTCTCCCCGCTCAGTGGGAAGCCTGGTTCTTCCTCTCCCACTCCCCTTGCTTGTGTTCCCTCTCTCGCTGTGTTTCTGTCAAATAAATAAATAAAATCTTAAAAAAAAAAAGGAAAACAGAAAACACTAAATATTTCAAACAGAAGGAATTTAATACAGAAAACTGGTTACACAGGTGATGGAAGAACCAGGAAGCCATACAGGGGTGGGTGAAATAACCCGGGGATTAACAATATGGCAGAAGCCATGGCCTCCTTATGCTGCAGGGACCAGGGGAAGAGGCAACATGACTGGAGCCCGGACACCATGCTCACCTAGCAGGAGATGGGTCCTTAGGGAAGATGCAGCTACTGGGAGAGAAAGCACAATACCTTGCTTCCTTCCATTCTTTCACCCTCTACTCTCCTCTCAGTGACCTCACATTAAACATGGGCAGAGCTCCGCTGACAAGAGAGCCTTGGAAACCCAGCCTGCCTTTCAGAGAACAGGGCACAGAACGCATCTGAGGGCAAACGGGCTAAACACAGGCCCAGTGACCTTACTTCCTCCCTGCTTCACCTACACTTCCTTCTTCATGACCTCAAAACATCTGCTTTTAGCCATTTTTCCTTCCTTCTGTCCAATCTCAGAAAAAGAGATATCCTTTGGTTTTTCTACGAGAGTTAAAACTGGTATGAAAAGTAACTAAAAGCCAACAAAACGCAAGATTCATGGGGTAAGCCCACCCAGCTCTGCAGGGCTCTAGGACATGCGGGAATGATCTTTGGGAATCAGGTGGCCAGGGTGCTTCGGAAATCCTGCTGTGAAATGTGGGGAAACTGCCTGCAGGAGCTCTCTAGAAAAACTGTCTCCTGCTACGAAAAAGGTGCCAATGCCTTTCTTGATTTCTATAATTGATCATAACAGACTCACACGTTAACTGAAGACGGTCAGGCTGTTTCTATTCCATAAATCGCTGACATTTAGACTTAATGTGCGTTCATTAAAATTAAAACCAAGGGGCGCCTGGGTGGCTCAGATGGTTAAGCACCTGCCTTCGGCTCAGGTCATGATCCCAGGGTCCTGGGATCGAGCCCCACATCGGGCTCCCTGCTCAGCAGGGAGCCTGTTTCTCCCTCTCCCTCTACTGTTCCCCCTGCCTGTGCTCTATCACTCTCTGTCAAATAAATAAATAAAATCTTAAAAAAAAAAAATAATAAAATTAAAACCAAGAACAATCCATCTTCCTCCCTCGGTGCCTTCTCACTGCGGTCTCCCTCTCATAGACCAGGAAGTTGAGGCCAGTGATATCAAAGCCTGCAACTCGTGTAACTTCTTTACAGGGAAGAGTGCTGGAGCACCCGGGAATGATCTCACCAGTGCGCTGAATCCTGCCAGCCTTCTTCTGAATTGGCTTTCTGACTTGGGAGGACTCCGCTGAGTGAAAACTGCACACCTTTTCAGAAACAGCCTGGGGAGGGGTGCCTGGGCGTCTCAGTAGTTAAGCGTCTGCCTTCGGCTCAGGTCACGATCCGAGGGTCCTGGAATCGAGTCCCGCATCGGGCTCCCTGCTCAGCGGGGAGCCTGCTTCTCCTTCTGCTTGTGCTCTTTCTCTCTCTCTCAAATAAATAAATAATCTTTAAAAAACAAAACAAAACAAAAAACAGGCTGGGGAGCGCGCGCCTGCACCTGCCGCTCCACCCTTTAAAAGCAGAGGGGAGGTGACTGACCTACTCTCTGCTCACCGAGAGCTGCTTTGTGACCTGGATTGTAGGCTCCGCTGCCTGGGGACCTTGGTGGTGTCAGCCTGAGTCCCCGATGCGCCCACAGAGCACAGCCCTATGCCTGGCACGGGGCAGAAACCCGGTATTTGCTGAATAAACACAATAACTCAAAGTCAAAGACTTCGGTCACCAGGTACGGACAGTACCAGTTCCAGCTTTTCATGGAAGCCAGGGGTCTCGGTCCCGCCATTTGTAAAATGGAGATACGGTGCCAGCCCCCGTTTCCTTCACTGTATCAGTGTTAAGATCGGGTAAGATCGTATTTGTGAGTTTGTTCCAGTAAGCAAATAAATTGTTTTTATAATGATCTAAATAAAAAAGCTTCACACACCAGTGCTTGCATACACATTTATTAAGATGTAGCCAAGTGAAATGTGTCCGTTCCTCCTCTTGAGTACAGTCTTCTTTACTGATGTGTAACAACGCCCAAGGGCCGGGTGAACTACATAATCAAAATCAAATGCCAGCTTTTCACAGACTTTGCCAAAAGAGTGCAGCCCAAAACACCATTTTAAACTGCAAGAAATCTGAGGACATTTCATTCATAGTCTTGCTTTTTGCTGTTGTTGATATATACACTTTAATGTTCATCGCAGATCCATATTTAAAAAGAAAAAAGTAGTAGAGAGCAGAACTGTCAGTGTGAAGGACAATGCAGTATTAAAATACAGCTGCTTTTCATCCGTACTCGTCTAAATTAGAAACATGCTGCCATTCACAGGGGCTCTAATCACACGTGCGCATAAGCAGTACTGAGGCCTAACGGGTGGTGTGGGTTCCTACCCGGCATCTTCACTTTATTCTGGGTCCTTATCCTCATCTGAAAAATGGGGGACCGACTTCTTGGCGACCACATTGTCCAGTCTCTGTCCTTGTAGATACGGATTGACACTCTGAAAAAAATATGGTTTGGTATTATACCTGAACATCAGATACAGACATCTCGCAAAAGACGTGAGTGAGAATTGCTTCTGGCCCTATTGGGTTTAAAAACAAGGGGTGCCTGGGTGGCTCAGTCGTTAAGCGTCGGCCTTCGGCTC